CGATAACACGCACAACCAATCACGGTACTCTGACAGGGAGGCATTCAATTCCCATCATTCATTCCCGACGGCGAACAACATAGGTAGGTAGACTTGATAGTCTCACATGAAAAGAAAGCCAGCCATGTGGACGGCGGACAATTGGTCTAGTCCAATAATATTATAACCTTCATGGAGTTCAGATAATAATCAGAGGACGTCCTTTACCTGCAGAATATGCGAGCGAGACCTTAGCTCTCACAGCTACTCATACAACACACACGCATAAAGGTCGAGGAAAGGAGCTACTACTCAGTTTGTTTCCTCCTGGATCCTTACGCTCGATCGAGCAGCCAAGCACCTGGTTACGCCGCATGTGGCACATGCGGCGACCTGTTCTCTCCACGCACCAGCATTGTTGCGAATCAGGTACTACATCGTCTCCATCTCTCTCTGGGTCGTTGCAGTCATCGCAAGAGGATGATGATGACAGGCGGCAACTCCTGTTACCGTGGAACCTCAAAGACGTCACCAGTGCCCTGGATCAGGTTCGACAAGATACTAAAAACGTCAATTTTTTCGACAAACACGTCGATCCGCAACTAACTGGCGAAAGTATTTTGCGAACACTTCCAACATGTCGTCATCCTCTTCGTGCAAGCATTTGGAGCTGTNGTTCTCTCCACGCACCAGCATTGTTGCGAATCAGGTACTACATCGTCTCCATCTCTCTCTGGGTCGTTGCAGTCATCGCAAGAGGATGATGATGACAGGCGGCAACTCCTGTTACCGTGGAACCTCAAAGACGTCACCAGTGCCCTGGATCAGGTTCGACAAGATACTCTAAACGTCAATTTTTTCGACAAACACGTCGATCCGCAACTAACTGGCGAAAGTATTTTGCGAACACTTCCAACATGTCGTCATCCTCTTCGTGCAAGCATTTGGAGCTGTACACATGGATCAGCAGAAGTCAGATACCTCAGATCTGTCTCCTCCTGCAGTGGAAAGATATGAAGAAGCACGTGTTGAAAGACAACCCCAACTTGTCCAAGCAACACAGTTGCTTCATCTTACCCCAGCATTGCATGGATCGACTGATGGAAGGATGAACAAGGTATCCCGATTGAACCCCTTTGCAAATGGTGATCTGAGTGAACCTATTGCCTGGCTCATAATGTACGAGAAGAATCGTCGACTTCAGCATTATGCGGATACTGAAGACAATCACCAAAGAAGAGCCACAAGACTTGCGCATGAAAGAGGAGGCATTACGAAAGCTGCCAGTGCCTTTATCTCCCCAGCACCCTCTCCGCGCAACAACGACACGCTGGATCATCTTCGCAACCTACACCCTAACGAAGATCCAGACGATATTGCTATTGCGTGAGATTCCAGCATAAAAGCTGCGGGAAATCGTATAAACACGCACAAGATAGACTCCGTCGCCGAAGCTGATGAACCATTTGAAATCAAGTTCATCAAGCAGACGGTAAAGAAAGCCAACCCTCAGAGTTCTCTGGGGCCTGATGGTCTTCGTTTTTCGTATCTCCAAGCTGGTGGAATGAGTGATTTTTTTACTGAAACCTTGGCGGACTTCAGCTTTAAAGTCTTCTACTACGGAGACGAGCTTCCGGATTTCTTTTGGAACCTCCACACCAGTGCCAACCTTTCAGCGCTGNGCAGCGCTGGTAGAGAACAAAACGGCCGATTGCAGTTGGAGGGGTTGCGTCGCATCAGCTGCAGCTTCTGCCGCCAGTACAAGGGAGGGATTGCTAACATCATCGAAGCAGGAAACCAGTTTGGAGGTGGTGTTCCAGGGGGAGTTGATAGTGACCTCCACAGCAGCCCTCAGCCACAAGCAAGGCAGCACCATTCTCTCCTTTGATGGAAAAAATGCTTGCAACAGCATGCGCAGATCTTCCATCTTGCCAGCCGTCGCCACTCATACGCCACACTTGGTGAAGAACTTCGGGAACATCTACGCTTGAACCAAGGCGAAACTTCTGTTCAAAATGGAAGATGGTTCGATCGAGGTTGTTCTTTCACAGCGCGGAGTTCAACAAGGCTGTAATTTGGAAGGGTTCGGCTTCTGCGTAGGACTTCTTGATATCATGAAAGAGTTCAACAACAAGCCACCAGTGCCAGGAG